CAAGGAATGTAAGATTACCAATTAGAATAAAAGATTACCAGGGAATAAGATTACTGGAATGTTGTATTTTGTGTTTGGTTGGTTTAGCAGGAATGTAAGATTACCGTGTTTGGTTAAAGGAATAAAAGATTATTAGAATGTATATTTGACCAAATTGTCCTTATTATATATTTGTTTTTTTAACAAGTTGAAAAATATATATATATTTTCTTTAAAAATTTTAAATTCATAAAATTTATATAATTTTTTTACAAAATTGAAAATATAAAAATGTTTAATGAAAGGGTAAAATTTTATTTTAACCCTTGAACTTCATATAAAATTTTAATTTTAAACTTTTTTTTGTAAATCTAAAATAGTTTAAGGATAAATTTGTAATTTAACCTGCGTAGAATTTTTATTATTCAATGACATATTAAGGATATTTTTGAAAGAAAGAAAAAAATTAAGGGCATTTTAGACCAAAAAGCCGATAATCCAACAATACCTAAGGAAAATGAGGTAATGACATTCCCGGTAATATATACAAAAAAATCCACTATTGGTAAAGTAAGATTACCGAGAATGACATTCCAGCCAACCAAACATGGGAATGTGGATTTCATTCCCATGAGAATCTTACATTCCCCCAACCAAACACACTCTAAGGGTGCGTTTGGTTCACATAATGTAAGATTACCAGTGGAAATAAAATATTACTAGAGAATAGGATTACTGAGAATGTTGTATTTTGTGTTTGGTTGGTTTAGCATGAATGTAAGATTATTGTGTTTGATTAAAGGAATAAAAGATTATTAAAATGTATATTTGATCAAATTGTCCTTATTATATATTTTTTTTAACAAGTTAGAAAATATTTATATACTTTCTTTAAAAAAATTAAATTCATAAAATTTATATATTTTTTTTACAAAATTAAAAATATAAAAAGGTTTAATGAAAGGATAAAATTTTATTTTAACTCCTAAACTTCATATAATATTTTAATTATAGACTTTTTTTTATAAATCTAAAATAGTTTAAGGATAAATTTGTAATTTAACTTTCGTAGCAGAATAATAATATTTTTGAAAGAATTTTTTTAAGGGTATTTTAATCTAAAACACTGGTAATTCAATAATAACTAAAAAAATAATGATATTCTCGATAATATACCCAACAAATTCACTATTAATAATATAAGATTACTAAAAATACATTCTCGACCAACCAAACCGGAGAATGTTCATTCCCCGTACAAATGTAGATTCTGTGGATTCCATTCCCGTTCCCCAACCAAAGACACCCTAAATTTCCCGATTCTCTCTCTATCTCGCGTTCTAGAGTTCATTTTCTTCTTCAGAAATGGTAAGATCTTATCTCTTTCGTTCACATCTTCTTTCATTCTCTCATGTTTTTCTTTTATTTTAGCTGGTTCAGAATTGTTCGATTTAAATGCCTTTTTTATGGTATGGAACAGGCGGATTCTCCTCGTAAAAGGTTAGCTTCATTTCTCATCAATGTATTTTGCCTTTTGATCTGTGGCTACGGTGCTTGTGTGTTTTCCTCATTTCGTTCGAGTGAGTTATCGTGGAACCCTAGATTGAACAAGTCGGGATGGTTTAGGGATTTAATGAGCTTCATTGTGAAGGATTCAAACGGTATCAATTTCGATGCTGCAAATTATTTCCCTTTCTCTTCAATAAATGTAGATATGTTATTTCTTTCAACGTTGGATTTTGAGGATTGGTATTATATCGAGCTCTCGACAATTATGCAAAGCCTGTTAATCAGTTGTTGTTTCGACAATTATGCAAAGCCTGTTAATAAGTTGTTTCATCAATCTCCATCTTCAAATAATATGTTGCTGGTTGTATCAGGAATTCTCAGTCTCCCTCTCCATTGATAGAACAGTCAAGGTCCAGATCCAGATCTAGACCTCGGTCTAGGTCAAGATCCCGCTCCTGGTCGAGGCCGAGGCATAGGTCTCTGTCTCGCAGTCGTGGCAGGTCTGTTGCCCATCTGCTTGATTTCAATTCATTTTGTGAATTATTTCTTATCATATTTTTAAAAATTTATTATGGTTTGTTTTGGCTCTTTTTTCCTGATCCAGGTCAAGAAGTAGGGGCAGGTCAGTTTTGATTTGGCATTGTTTTCCTCTGCGTCGTTGTGACTTTAGCTGCAATGTTTATGCTTATACCACCATATCTTGTATTATCATACATGAAGGCTGGACTTTGAATGCCCCTTTATTTATTTACTTAATTTATATTCTTTTGGATTTATGTGTTAGGGTTGAAGTGGAAATCCTGGAAACACTTTATGTGACAGGTCTATCTCAAAGGGTCACAGAGAGGGACCTTGAAGAGCACTTCTCCAAGGAGGGGAAGGTTGGTTTTCTGCTATTTACTCAAAATTTTGGGGTTTTTTTTTCATTATTTTATTGCTACTAGCCCATCTCAATAATCAATATATGATTAATGAGTTGATTCTGTTTGAAGGTGGCATCATGTTTTCTGGTCGTTGAACCTCGCACACGCATATCTCGTGGTTTTGCCTTTGTTACTATGGACAGTGTTGAAGATGCCGACCGCTGCATCAAGTATCTCAACCAATCAGTTTTAGTAGGTCGATATGTAAACTGTGGAGAGGGTAATCTGATCTATCCTTGTTGCTTAGAGTTTATTGTTTTGGTGTGTTCATTACCTCTTAACCTGGAGGTTTTCTGGCTATATTCAGAACAGTATTTGTCAGCTATGTTGGCAGCAATCAAAGATGATGAGATCATCCATCTCAACTTAAGTCAAACAAGCTTGATCAATGGCCAGCTAAAACAGCATGAAAATACATGTGATCAACTAAATTAGCAACTATTTTGCCCAACAACTACACAACCTCAGCATTCACTTTCAACTCTCAACTAATCAACGGCCAATACAACAACTTTATAATCAGGCTTTTATGGTATATCACGTATGGCATTTATATAATGTAGGAAATACTCGTGTCCTGTCCGGATGTTTATCGTGCTTGTCGTCTTCCCTTTCTTTCAATGGCCATTTTTCACCTTCCAGGTGATCTTCCAAATGAAGTCACCCCCCCGTTTCATACTAACATGTTAGTTTTTTGACGATATAATGTTGTAGACCCTAAACCATTTTGATGATGCTAAGCCAGTATTTGCGTAGTTCAATATTAAGCTGTTTCATCTTCTTTTCAGTCACGTAGGAAACGGCCGAGGACTCCAACGCCAGGGCATTATCTTGGACTGAAAAATACCAGAGATTATGGTAATTCTGAAATTGTAAATCAAATTATTTGTTAGAAAACAGGGCATAATGATTGACTAATACTTTTGATGTTACTGTATTGGGGGAAAAGGTGGTCGTGGTGACCGTGGCAGGTATCATGGTGGTCGTGATGACTATGGGTATCGTCGATCTCCGAGGCGCTCACCATATCGAGGTCGTGATTACTCTCCAAGATATTCCTCCCCTCATGGTGGAAGATCAAGGAGGGACCGTTATTCGCCACCTTATTCCCATGGTTCTAGGTGAAGCGTTTCTGTTGGAAGCAATCTCAAAGCTTATAACATCTTGTTAGTTTGATGTAAGCATTTCAGTTTGGAGTTTGGACAGATCTTCGATGTTAATGTTTTCTTTATCTGTTTAGCATGTAGTTGTACTTGTATGGTGCTCTATTAAACATGGATTAGGCGTTATTAAACCACCATAGGATCCCGAGCCATTTGAGATTTGTGTGGGAATTAAGAATCCGCTTTCTCAACTTTGTTTAATTCAGGTCAACCAGCTTTGAGGTTCCTTTCCCCGAACACAGGCATTAACTAATTGTCTCAGGGTTGAGCATTCTGAAAATATTTATTCAAAATTTTCAATTTTTAACTTTGACAAACCTCATTTTGTTTTCACCATCTTCTAAAATGGCATATGTATATATAAGGAAGATTTGATGATAAAAATATCTTGAAGTTAATGGAAACTATAGCCTATTTTGATATTTAGAAACATCTTCCCCGGTGAAAACTTCTGCATCTCCGGTCGTTGATTGCGATGCGGATGGGACCTTGAAATTTGTTGAGGAGAGATTAGTGATATTGAAATATGAGGGGAGATTGGTGATGTGTGGTGTTGCTATGGATGTTGGTTGATGAATTTCTCGAAAAGTGTAACTTCGTGCTAAATGGAACATTGAGATGTTTACAACCTGAGATTTAGAGACTGTAGGGTTATTTCAAGATCATTTTTCAGAGAATAAATTCATTACGGTCTTATAACATGTCTTGTTTTCATGAATTATTATTTGGAGGTAAACATATCACGTGTTTTTTTTTCGAAAACAAATTAATTAATAGTAAATAATATAATTAAGTTGACTTGAAATTATTTTTTAAATTTGCTTTCTTTGTTCGTCATTAAGCAATTTCTGGTCTCATCTATCCTACATCTTCCTTGCCTTGTTGCTGAAACTTTCTGTATGGAAAATGGCTACCTCTTCCCACTCTTCCTGCGTCTGGAGAGATCTACATCGTCGATGCTTTGAAACACAATGTTGGCATCAATCTGTACACAAGCTCTTAAAAATGTTCTCCTCCTCATAGGATAAATCCTGCTATTTTTTTTTTCATTCTTGTGTAACTTATTTCTTTTCCTCTCCGATGTCAACTTTTACATGCTAAATTGCTGATAGAGAGGGATACTTTCTTCACTTTTTTCCCCTTTTTTTCTTAAACATTTTCTTCTTCCTGATTTTAAGTTTTCAATGTTGGTTGCAGAATGGTTTGACTGCAATTCACAAGGCAATTATTGGGGAAAGCAGGCCATTCCAACTATCTCTTAAGAGAATCAGCTTGGATATTACCGTCGTTATTGATTTTGCTTTTGTTCTCTGTGAAAAAACTCACTCCTATCAGCTTGGCTTTCCACGTCAAATCTTACATATTTGAATTACATGTACATGTCGGGTCGGTGTTTCACCCACTTTTCTTTGCCTATTCCAACTAACTTCATTTCTCACTGTCATTGGTTGCTTGTTCTTCCAAATAAAACCTCCCAATCTCAAACAGTAGTCTTTTATCTCTCTCGGAGACGATGCTTGGTGTTCAGTTTTGCTCCCGTGTATTCTCCACTTTCTGGGTTTTCTCAGATTCACCAAATGCTTATCACCCAACACCCTCCATTTCTTTTCCTCCGCTTCGCTCCTCTCCAATCCGTTTACATTTCACGGCGAATCGCCACCCGTCGCCGAAACGGGTCCTCATTTCTTGCCACTCGATTCATGGTAGCTTCGGGTCCCAATTTAGCAACGAGGACGACCCAGATCACCAGTTTCTTGAAGCTTCTATTCTCGTTTCAGGTCTGACTTAAAAAAGAAAAAAACTTTTTTCCCCTTGATTTGGGTAAAGAAAATTTGGGAATATGTTTAATTTTGGAGTTACATAATGGAACAGAAACTGTTTCGCACTACCGGATGTTAAGGCAAGGATTTAAAGAAGAAGTAAAATGGCAGTCATCTAGGAGACAGCATCCCATTTCAAGGCCTAAAATTGCTTCAATTGGGCAATCCTTTCTTAGTCGATTTACCAGTCCAACTATTTTTCTTTAGATTTCTTGTGATGGCGATTTCTTGCTACATTAGTGTAGGTAACATGAAAATCAACAATTCTACCATGTTATTTCATTCCTATCGTTCCTTGGCTCTGTTTTTTCCCTTAATACCTATGGTTAATCTGCTCTTGTAGGTGAATTCGCTGTTGAAAAATTAATAGCTTCGTTTTCGGGAGATGAGAATGGGGTAATTTTGTTAATCTCTTGTTGTTTTGAACATTTTATCTTACTTAAAAGTTAAACTTTTGAGTTATCTCTTGTATCCATTTGTTGACATGGTCTATCTTTTGCAGGATTGTCCAGACCAGTTCCATCTTGTTAAACTGTTTTTGGAGAGGCTTGAATATAAAGTATGGAGTTGGTTTACCTTTGTGATCTTGATCGATATTCTCGATGTACTAACTTTACCCTAGGAAAATTGTGCATGATGCTGTGTAATATCTATTTTCATTGATTTATACATGTTCTGCTCCAGGTTAAGTTGGTGAGAATTACAGAAAGAGTGTAAATACATATTTTGCGAAGTTATATTTTACCAAGGTGATTAAAACTTGAAGGATCGTTTTAGTTTTTATTTCCTTAGGATTATAAAGGCACCTGTCTCGATTGTGGTTCTTTTGTTTACAGCCAGGGGAAAATGATGTGATAAGTGTGGATGCCGACCCTCGGATGCCATCAATGTGGCTAATAGATGCAAGGTATGTATGGGGAATTATTATAAATCATGTTTTTTATATGTAAACGGGGAATTGCTCGTTTTCTATTCTGTCTTGATTGCTACCCAGATTTGTTTACTCTTGCTGTCTTCTAGATATACCAGTATAAAATATCGTCAAAGTTCAATCGAGACTAATTGGTTTGATTTGAGTAGGTGGTCTGATGTTTTCAGTTTTGCAATCTCTCTCTCATTTTGATGTCAAAGTTCAATCCAGACATGTTGTACAGATGTTTTCAATATCTCGTTTCGATTGCTTCTCTGAAGCTTCTAATTGGTGTTCTGTATGCAGGCTCCTATCTATGTAAGTAACGAGTAGTCTTGGAAGATGCTATTAGAATTAGCTATGGGATGGGCAGATGCGTGATACAAAGCCTACTTATGATGTATTGCTCGACAGGTACGTTGTACATGCTGCCTCTGGAGTTTTGTCGAAAATTAGTTCTTTCTATTAACTCTACATACGGTGTATACTTCCAGTGCTGCAGATGGCCCGGATTTCTAACAGAGGAGCTGTCGGAGAAGAAAGGTACAATGATGCAGGTAATAAACATAGAATATAATCTTCTAATCAGGATAAGATTTCAGAATCTGCCTTCTTTGTTCGATTATAAATCTACGAAATGAATTACCAATCACAATACTATTTCTTTCCTTGGTTCTCAAACATTGAAGCTCTTAGTGTTTTACACCATAAAATGAATTTCCTGCAGCAATGTTAAGAGACAAACTAATGAAGCTACGCCACTCAAGTGATGATCAGTGAATGTTTTGTAAAAACAATAATCCGATTCGGAGTTTCGTCGGCTGCTCAGTACTCAGGTTATTGTAGTTTACAGAGCACAGGGAAGTTGCTATGCTAAAGTACTCAGCAGAGAGAACCATTGACCCGTTAACCCAGAATTTCAGTGTTTAAGATAAGCACGAGTAAATTCCTGAATGAATGCATAATCTTGCTTTCCAGAAGGCGATACGAATGTATGCTGTCTAAAGCAGTAGACTTAAATATGTAAAGAATTTGATCGATTATCAATGACTAAAGAATTTGATGATGCATTTTTTGTTCCTGTCATGATTCATTATAGAATTCATTGTATGTTACTGGACAGCCACGATTGATAATAAAATTCATTGTATAATACTGGAAAAGCTTGATTGATATATAATTGGGTTCTTGCCTTGCACATGCATATATATATATATATATATATATATATATATATATATATTCCAATTCAAACTGAAAAGCTAATGGGGAAATTGAAAGGAATATCTTTACATGAGTTGAACGTGAATAAAAAGCCTACTTCATGCAGTTTCACGAAAAACCCTGTAGATCGGATCAAACTAAGATATTGAAAATTTGTTAAAGAGCTCACGACAATTTTTGTCAAAATTTTAAACAAACAAACATGAGATGAAATTATAAAATTAAGATTAAAATGAAAACATTATTATGCAAAGCAAACTGAATAGCCTAATGACAACGAGTAGAATATGGAAGTCTACCACTCAAAAAGTCTACTGTATCCCAAAACGAAAGTAAATTGTACATAAGATTCCTTTAGATGAGTCGTATCACATTACGAATCACATCATTGTATAACGTTCACCTGAGAGAAGAGAGACAAGTGTTATACTTTCGTCAGTTTGTCACTCCAGAGTTCTACCTCAAGGCCGTTGTGAAGCTCAATAACAAATAATCGTATGGTTAATGAATTCACATATTGGGCCGTAGGGTATATTATATTAGACTTGTAATAATTTAAGCTCAAACTTATAGTTTATATCCAATCTAATTACAACCAACCATGTAGCTACCAATAGTTGAGATATATTATAAAGCACCATTCAATTTGAGATAAGAAGAGGGAACTCATTTTATGCCCTACGAACAGAATATAATCAAACAGAACTCTGTTCCAATTAAAAAGGATGGACCACGTATCATCGACTTACCATTTTCTTTCCCACGGTCTTATGATCCACCATAAACCATACATTCCAATATCCATAAACAGTGTGGCTGACGGATACTTGAGTGCTTATTAATTTTGGTCAGAGAGAGTGAGAGCGAGAGATTCCTTCATTAATGATGGTGGTCTTTCTGGTTCGGCAATGCAGAGAGTATCACAATCTTGGCATGGCCTCTATGTACATCTTACCATTGGGGCACACCTTCGAATTCATGCATGCTTCACCTTGCTTACTTTATAACTATGACCAAACCATGTGCTCGTCTTAAAGGACAATTTCAGTTAACCCCATATTTTTGTTTTCTCACTTTGGAACTCTGGTTTAGCCATTTCTGTAAAGTACTGCCTCACAGTCGACCAACCAGACATCATATTTTAGCATAACACGAGCTCACTTTCATCCCAAATCTGCTGCTTTCTCCGTTGATGGATGTGAGAGCGATTGATCATATTACTTAGCATCGTTCTATTAATTAGATTAGTCCTTTTTGCTGGTCCAGGCATGCGATAATATTAGGATATTAGCTAACCAGTACTGTACCTTATTTTATAATAATACGTATTATTAAAATATAGTATTTATTCAGAGATTTTTTTAGTCTATGACAACGTATAGTCCTACAGACACAATTACTTAAACCCATATCGTTTTTAGCACTAAGGTGAATTAAGGGTTAAGTGATATATAATTTGTGAAAAAGAAGAGTTGTGGAATTTAGGGGTGCCCTATATGAATAAGACTGTGGGGAGGGAGGAGAATATTATGGTTTTAAATGCAGTGACCCAACTTCTGCTTTGGTAGTAGAGGTTTTAAATGCTGGTGCAGGCCCTATTTTTTACCTCTTAAATCCCCTCCCTACCCAGACATTCTTACCATTCCCCCCTTCAAAAACTTTTCTTCTCTACTTTTCTCTCTGTTCATTCTTCTTCGTCAACGTCCCTTCAAATCCCTCCCTACCAGACATTCTTTTTCCTTTTTCTTTCTGTTTGATCAACATGCTCGATTATTCATTGCTTACTGTTTCTTAAGGGGTTTTGTAGTTGGGGACAACCTGCATGTATCAGGTAGCTTTATGGTGTAAAATGACATGAAATAGTGACTTGATATTGGCCTGGTTCACTCAGACGTTAAAACAAAGCATTTTCTTTTTGAAGTATTGGTCTGATGAGCCGTGCCAATATCTTAGTACTCTTTCATATATCCGCAAGCTTTGTCTCCTCGATAACGTGTGTGCTAGAAGTTCCTGCCGGACCGAATGGGGCGGTCAAGACGTTACTATAAAATTTCAAATCAATATTTTAGATTTTTTTTATATTTTCTATTCCTAACATTTCGTCTTAACACAAACATACATCCATTCATGTTTGTAATAATATTTCCAGTCGTGTATCTATGACATACCGTACATTGGGATTCCGCAGCTTTAGGGTGAATATTTTTATGTAGACAAGAAGTGGTTTTATTTTCAGTTAGAAGTGTAAAGAAAAAAGTAGATCCATTACTTTACTGCTGTTATAAAATTTGCAGGTTATTGAAAAACGTTTAAACGAGACCAAGGCGGCGGCGTTTTCCAGGTGACTCTTGTCTTACTATAATATAAAGGACCAAATGAAAGAAAAAAAATTATCTAATCAACATGGAATTTTATGGTAATGCAAACTGCAAAGAGCCCTCGCATTAGTTTTGTTTTTTTACTAAAGGCAAACTCCCAATAGTTATAATTTGATTTTTATAAGTATTTAAATATAACATCTATATTTTTTTTTCAATGAATAATTGAAGTTAAAATTTATATGTATATTATTTAGTTTGGTTTAATTAGTGTTTGTGTTAATATTAGTGTACTTCTTTTGTAAGTATTGTTCTTTTCATTTTGATCTTTGACCTCATAATCTTTCGCACTAAAATCATCCAGAAATGTGATTTGTTAAAATCCATCAACATTTAAGAAATAGAAAAGCTTTTGGTATTATTTAGTCGCAAATTCAAAAGAACTGCTAATGATAAACCCTAAAAAGATGGAAAGAGGGAAACACCACACCCAACCAAGCTCAGTAGGGCTTATAAGAGCTATATGCGCCATAACAGCAACCGCAGGATTTGTTGTTTATTTTGATGCATCAACTCCTCACCAAGATCTGAAGGAATTATATTACATTCATGGTGTTTTAATGTTTCGCATGCGATAGTAATGGTTAGAGATGGACCAAGGGGACGGGTGAGGACAACCATCCCCTAAATTTTAAATTCTTTTTCTTTGTATTTTCTATTGATATATATTTCGAGCTCTGAAATTTTTATCCCCTCTAAAATTTATAAAT